TGTATCTTGTATCTAGTATCTAGTATCTAGTATCTAGTATCTAGTATCTAGTATCCTGTATCTTGTATCTTGTATGCTGTATCTAGTATCTGGTATCCTATATAAATAGCAATCTCTACATATCAAAGTCTATCTTAATTCACAGCTGATGTCGTATAGTTTTCCCTCTTTGCCATTTATGAACCTATAAATTTCTCCCAAAGACCATAAATATACTTATAACAAACAACTACTATAAAAAAAGAGTTTTATAATATAAAAACTATTTGATAGGACCTTTAGGGATACATTTTTAATCGCTCAGCTATTTATGGCAAACAAAAAAGTATTTCCGTTTTTAAACATTTCAAATTGTAACGTTCTATATATAGACAAGTTAGACGTCGCCCTGAGAAAGGGTCGTCATAGCACACGCAGCACAAGCTTAACGTGTTGCGGCTCGTTTACTTGCTGGACTATGTCCATAAATTAAGAATGCGCCATGGAAATTTGTTTAGGTTCCGTTGTTCATTTGAAGAAAACAGTTCAATGCGCTCCAAGCGTAATTGTTAAGAAAATTTCTCGATTATAAATATCTAGAAGTGTGGGTGTGTGTGTGTGTGTGTGTGAATGCATCCATTCAAGAACTATTAAATACAACAATCAACTTGGGAGTTGAGGAACCGAGAACCGAACGAGAAATGTTTTGGCATCAAGCGCAAAGTTTATCTAGCTCGGCTAGTGGAAGACGTTGTTTATGACTGCCGGCACGTGAAATTAATGAGATGTTTGTATTGGGGAAGTGAAGGCGAGTGCTTAAAATTTAATGCCTGCGTAAATTGCATGAATAGCCAAAGAAAGCTGGAGCCAGAGCAAGAGCAAGAGAAAGAGCACAAGCAAGAGCAGGAGATGCAGAGATGAGGTCGAGGTGAGAGTTTAGTTTTTGTTTGATTATTATTTTGAATATGTGCTCGATTTTTGAACAACTCGCACGCATACTGAAGCTTCTTTTAAATAAACATTGTTCTCCAGTGTGAGAAAAGTAATCATAAGCACACATACACACACACACACACACCCACCCACTTATACATATTTATAAAGAAATGCTGAGCAGCATTTTAACATTTTGTACAAGCCCGCAAAACTGTCAGAAATTAAATCTTTTGCCCAGGAGACGGACGCTGATATTTGCAAGAGGAAATTAAATGAAACACAAAAATACATACATACATGTAAACATCAGCAAAATTGC